TCTTTGCGTGTGTGTGTGTGTGTGTGTGTGTGTGTGTGTGTGTAACCAGGGGTTGAACCCAGGCCCTTGTGCTTGCTAGGCAAGCGCTTATTCTACTGAGCCATCTCTTCAGGCCCTGAAATTGCACTTTTGTACCTTAAAGGCCAAACTGAACTTTGGCAGCAGTGGAGCCCTCAATGGTCCCTAATAAGCATTTTCTGGGCATAATTAACCTTTATGCCAGAGTTGCACTGGGAATTCAGATGTGGGCTTCCATTCTGTGCGATCCTGGAGCGGGGAGGAGGGTGCTGGAACAGCAGCTGTCAGGCTCTCGTTCTCCATCCAGCCATCCGTGGGTTCCTTGAGTTTCTCCTTCAGCCCTGTGAATTCCCTGTCTGTGCTGTGCCCTGGAAAAAACCCAGCCAGGCCTGAGGCCCTGCCCCACCTCCCTTCATCATCTACTCCACCCTGGTGGCCCTGAGCACCTCCTCTAGCCAGGCTATAAATGGGGGCCTTGGGGCTGCCCTGGCTGCTGTCTGCTGCGCTGTGCCGTGTCCAGGGCAGGACCTGCTCTTCCTTCAGACAGTCATTTCAGATGATGCTGAGGCATGACCATGTCCTTGGAGTTAACCTTTAAGGTTCAGAGAGAATTGCAAGAAGACAGCTGTTTTCTTTGGGCACCAGGGCTGTCAGTCTAGGGTACAGAAGTGGGGTGTTAGCTAGCAAGTGAACCTAGTGCTCCGCCGATGTCACCTCTTTGGTGCCACTGTGGTGTCCACACTGGTAGGAAAATGGCACACATGAATTCCTGAAAATCAGTTTGTCAGAAACAGTACTGAAAAGATGCCCAGTAGCTACGGCTAATGGCTGGGTGAGGAAGCCAATGGCGGGAGTCCAAGGTAGCAGCGTTCTCAGGCCCAGAGCACTTCACTTTAACCTGCGAATCCGGTTTTCTGGAGACCTGGACCTCGCATGTGGCCTGTCCACTGTGCACTCCAGCCTTAATTCTCTCCTCAGGTACGAGGCCTTCAGCCCTGTGGAGGAGGAGGTGTGCCCTCTCCATCGCACAGACCCGCATGCAATTCAGAAAGTTCACACTGCGCCCCCTGGTGTTTTTGTGGACCCCAGATTGTGGCCTTTTTTTTTTTTTTTTTGTTTTTTTTTTTTTTTTTTTTGTGAAATTGGGCATTGAATTCAGGGTCTGCTACATGCTAGGCAAGCACTACACTACTGTGCTACACTCCCAACCCCCCATTTGGATTTTTTTTTTTTTTTT